TCAGAACACTGACATTCTTTGGCTAAAAGTGCTCAGCAATAAAATACAAGTGATCCTCAAATTACAAAGGTTCATTTAGTGTCTGTTTGAAGTTACGATGACACTGAAAAAAAGAGACTTATGACAATTTTTCACACTTACAACCGTTCCAGCATCCTCAGGGTCACGTGATCCAAATTTGGATGCTTGGCAACTGGCTCATATTTATGAGTCATGTGAGTCATGTGATCCTCTTTTGTGACCTTCTGACAAGCAAAGTCAATGGGGAAGCCGGATTCACTTAACAAACATGTTACTAACTTAACAGCTTCAGTGATTCACTTAGCAATTGTGGCAAGAAAGGCTGTAAAATGGGGCAAAATTCACTTAACAACTGTCTTGCTTAGCAACTGAAATGTTGGGCTTGATTGTGGTCCTAGGTCGAGGGCTACCTGTACCCTCTCTCTTTCTGAGCTTTGCAACTCACTGAAAACCTTTGATCTTTTCAGCTAAAGATCATTAAAAATGTAGGATGCAGATATCCACAAATGTTTTAAGTTAAGTTTCTCTCTTCTGCTGACCTCTTCTGAGTCTTCTGAGTGATTTGGAGAGGGTTGGTATTGCAAAGATCTTTCACAGGGCTTCTGTTTGGTCCAAACCATGGAACAAGAAAACTACTTCATAGTTCCCTTTGAACTGTTCGGCATGAGGATGAGACTTTGGGAAGGAGCTACTGTATGATGACCCCAAACTTGTTTTGGTTACTGGGCAAAGCAAGTTTTTGTGGGACGCTGCTCACAATACATACCAACAGTGGTGACCACAAGTCTTGAGGAAAGAAGCTGATTTCTTTGAGTAGAATATAATTCGTAGTGACTTCATGGATGAGCTCATGTGGTTTTCTTATTAATAATGCAGAAGTGGTTTGCCTTCTTCCAGGATGTTTTTCTTCAACTTCCTAGTTTAACCACCAGCCAATGACATAAATCTAATGAAGACCAGGGAAACAGTCACCCTGGCACCTGCAGGTAAGAAGAATCATGGCTATCCCCGTCTGCTGCTCATTCCTTTCCCCAAACAGAAAGGTGTCAAATACGGGGGGGGAGGAGGGGGGAGTCAATGTATAGAAGTCCACATATAAGGTCTATCAACAGACGCATCATGTCCTCAAAGGCCTCTCCATGGAAAGGTAAGAGCTTTGTGCCTGTTTCCCTGGCATGGGTGGGAGGCGTACAAAAAAAAAAAAAGCAAGGGAATCTACCAATTGGAAACTGTGGAAAGCGTGGTATAGACAGAACTCAAGAAAATGGAAACTTTAATGTTTGAACTACTGGAGTACAGTCAAGTTGTGACAATTACATCAAATCTTTTTCTCCTATGTACCTAGATTGATAAAATGGCAACTTAATGCAGGAAAACATGCCTGTCTTCCTAATGGCAGCAATAAGCTACGCTCATTTTAGAACCTAGACTTATAGACTTACAATAACTTTATTGTCACTTTGAATGTACACTAATTGGCATACATTAAAATGAAATTTCATTGCATACAGCTCTCAAAGGGTCACCACCTCCAATATACACTACATAAACATAACTGACTGACTGACTGACTGACTAACTAAATAAATAAATAAATAAATATGCATATACCCACATATATTATATGACACGGAGAAACAACACAGTCTAGTTTGGATGTCTACATGTACATGGCGAGAAAAACAGAATTCAATTTGATATCACACAACTGATTCAATTTGATACCATACAACTGATATCATTTTTACACTACATATAATCACTGATTTATTTTTTCAGAACAGGATTGTTTAACACACACCCAACCCACAATGGCTTACACCCTCAATTTGTGATTCCCAAAGCATCCTGTTTACCCCACTAAAATTTAGTGACAACATAACTGGATTGATTTTCAACCGTTATAAGAGTAGGATGTAAATAAATTAAAGATGAAACATAATTTAAACTTCTGTAAACTCCATGTTTTAATAAAACAATTAACTTGTCTAATATGCACAGTAATTTAGTGAAGGTCTGATACAGCACAGTCCTCCATGCCAATAAAATTAAAATCAACACATATAGAAAATAAAAACTGAAAGGAAGAGGTTAATATATTATGGAAAAACATGTCGCTCCCATATACATTCAAAGTATAATGCTCAGGCATAGCGTTACTCAGTATTAAACAGGTTCTCCTTAAGCCACAGCATGGCTAAAACAAATTATAGACTGTGTTGAAAAAACTTCCCCAACACCCTCCTTTGAGCATGCTGCCTAGGAGTTCAGAGACTTGATGTCCCAACAGGTCCAGAAGATACCAAACTGGGAAGAGATTGTGTTGGCACATACATGAAGTTCAACTGATGCATTCCTTTGATGTCGGGTGAAACCCAGTTATCTTAAATCAAACAATACTTGAATAACTAGTTATATGAATTCCAGCATGAGTGTAAATCAGGAATACAAAGAGAGAAAAAGTTCTGGTATAAAACCATGCTGTCATGTTGCACTTTTCTGTACTCTTGGTGGCTCTTTAAGATTCCAATGCCATGTGTTGCTATTATTAGGTTCTATTAAATCCTACTTGACTCCTGGTAACTCTACGGATAACTATCTGAGCCATCCTGGCTCTTGCTGCTTACACATTTCTTGCAGATGTATTTATGTGAACTCCCATAAGGCTCCAGAATTGATAGGGATGGTGCAAAAAAAAAAAAATCAGAAAAGAACAAAAATGATGAAAAAAAAAGGCCCTGGGAGTCATAGATATCCTCCTGGAAGACTGAGATATTTCAATCAAGGCAAAATTTAAGATAGTCAACTCAGCGGAATTCCATTATGATGTTCAGATGTGAAGGATGGGCTCTGTGCAAGAAGAAGAGGGTTAACTCCCTTGAGCTAAGGAGGAGATTGCTTCAGATTCATCAGAAACACTGGCTGAAAAACCAACCATTTGTTACTAGAAGAAATCAAGCCAGAATGCTCACTGCAAGTAAGAAACAAAACAAACCTTTATACTTTTGATATGAAGACTGATGCATCTGCAGAAAAGATGATAATGCTGGGCAAGGTGGGTGGCACACGAGGTGGACAAATTACCATAAGCTACAGAAACGCAATGCAATTTACAGCTTACACGCCATATGGCAAACTTTACAGGTCTACCAAGTGTATAGTATACTTCTCAAATTATATCTTGCAAAATTCAAGCCTGAGTGGAAAGTGAGTCATAAAATAAATCCGCAGGAAGCCATTCTCTTGCCAACCAATAGTCGGTAATGCTCCCTGTAAAGCCTGTTGCACTCACACCTTCATCTAAAGAAGTGATGCGGCAAGACAACTCACACAAACTCAACTTCTCCGCTCCACCCAGAGTCAGCCTAGATCTTCCCTCTGTAGGCAACTATTCTGAGACTTTTTTTTTTTTTTTTTTTTGTACAAAAGGCAGAATGTAAGACTTCTTCCCAGGCAGAATTTTGACAGGTCTAGGCTAAAAATTGTTGATCGATACAATGTTTCTCAGCTGTATATATTTGTTTGCCTGTTGCAATGTATATACTTGGTTCCCCCCCTTCCTTTTTTTTTTTTTTTTTGCTCAAAAACTAGCATATCTTGTTACATACCAGAAAGTCAGATACAAGTATGAATCACAAGCCTTGCCTCAACAGCTTCCTGCAGGATTAGGAATACTGAACCCAACTCAAAACGAACTATGTCTCCTCCAACGGTGAGGAAACGTTTGCGACCCAATTGCCAAGCTCGGAGCTCAAACCAACAGCCCCATGTACTATGACAGCCAAGGTCCGGAATTCAAACTGCTGAAACGGAGCTCAGGGAGGAAGAACCCTTTTAAAGCACTCTTGGTGGCAACACCAAGCCTTGGTGGCACAGCAGACTAATGTGCTGTTAAATAGCTTACTATTTACTGCAAGTTTAAATCTCACCAGGCTCAAGGTTGACTCAGCCTTCCATCCTTTCGAGGTAGGTAAAATGAGGACCCGGATTGTGGGGGCAATAAGCTGACTTTGTATAAAAAAGAACACCGCTTTGGGTGGGGGGAGCGAAAGCCCTACTAAGCAAGTATATACAAAAGTATGAATGCTATTGCTTAATGCATTGTAAGTGGCCTTGAGTCTCCGGAGAAGGGCGGCATATAAATCCAATCAATCAGGTTGACAAGACAAGAGGGAAAGTTGGAGCTGCAATGGCCATCACAGGCGCTATCCTGGAGCTTTCTGGAGTAGTATCAACTCATAAACGGAGCAAGAAAGAAGCCAAAAAAAAAAAAAAAAACAAAAAAAAACAAGAGAAATCCCTACTTAACCCGACACAATTACCGCCGGAAGGGAGCCCAGACACACCGCGCGTCTCGGGTACAGCTGGAGCTCCCGGGTTTAATCACCGCCGCGGCTATAAAACCGCACGAGGCGGACCAAGACAAAGGGGGGGGGGAGAGACGGAACACCCAGGTAACAATCCCGCACACTCGCGTAACAAGAGTCCGGTCTTCGAATACGAACAACCGCCGTTGTTTCCGAAGGACTCCAAAGAAACGCACATTGATCAAAGCGGACGGCAGCCGCCCATCCCTCCCCTCCCCTCCCCTCCCCAGCAGAAGCCGAAAAAGCTGGGAAAAGAAAGCAGCGCTCGGGTTACTCAGCGAAGGGAAAAGCTCCGTTTCGCAGCCTTCGCACAAAAGGAGACCGAGCTCCCGCCAAGTCGGAGCCTGAACAGAGACGGTCTTTCGGTCCCACCCCCACCCCAAAAAAAAAGAGAGAGAGAGACGGAATCGAAGCCAGGAGAAGCTGCGCGGGTTGCGCTCGGGGAAGAAAGACCGCCCGGCGGGAGGAGTGGAGGGGGGGGAGGGACGGACGACTCCAGGCCTAGTTCAGCAACTAAGGGGGTAGTGGGGTGGGGGGTGGGGTTGGGGTGGCAGAAAGAGGCACCCGGCTTCTGCTCCCCGGGGCTGCCGCCAAGAGCTCCTCCAGCCTCACCTTGGGTCTGTGCAGCCACCTTCGGACAGCGGCGGGCAGCATGGCTGGGGCCGGGAGAGCGGCGGCCGGAGAACTCGCCCTCGCTCTTTAACGCGGCACACCTGCGGCTCGGCGCCCTCCGCCTGAAACTCGCACCGCCTACAGGCGGCTCGAAGGCTTCTATCAGCCCGGCCGGGATATTATAGCGCCTGGCCACGCCCAGAGGAGGGCGGGCCTTTGGACAACAGGAACGTGACCGCGTAGGGTTGCGATTGGTGCGCCCTCGGCCGGCGCTCGGCTGATTGACGGAGCGGCCGCCGCTCCCTCCTGGATGAAAGTTATTGAGGGTGGGAACGGCAGCAGCGGCAGCCAAGTCTCCGCGGGACGGGCGAACGAGACGGTAGTTGGCAGCGGAGAGGAGAGGAGAAGGCGGCAGGACGCCGCACCATCGGTGGGGGCGGGTCTCGCCGGCCTTTCCAGTTGTCTGGTGGTTCGGGACGTGCGGTTGGACGCGCTACCTTGACCGGCTCATCCTGATACAAAGCTTGGGTAGCAATGAGAGGCTGGGCGATTCCCTTGCCTTACAGCTGCCACTTCAGGTACATAAAACCACAAGGATGGTCGCTTTGGCTTCCTTGTGGGTTTCTTCCCCGACTGAAGTTCTCCAGGTGCACCGACCGAATGCCAACTGAGGCAAAGGCTCCGGTGTTGAAGTCCAACCAGTGGTGGGATTCAAATAATTTAACAACCGGTTCTCCCGAAGTGGTGCGAACTGGCTGAATCCAGTGGTGGAATTCAGCCAGTTCGCACCACTTCGGGAGAACCGGTTGTTAACTTTCTGAGTAGTTTTGCAAACTGGTTGTTGGAAGAAATCATTAGGGCAGAGAACCGGTTATTAAATTACTTGAATCCCACCACTGGCTGAATCCCACCACGGAGTCCAACCCATCTGAAGGGCACTAGTTGGGTGCACGCTGGTGCAGTTCCAAAAGCGATCTTCAGGACAGGCACTACCAGTGATGATCCTCCTCGACCAACAAACTCCACGGGTGAGATGGTGGCCTCCCGTGCTCACTTTTAGAAAACGGCCCTGCAACTTATTTCAGCTCGGATTTTGTGTATTTAAGGAAGAAGAGGTTTTAACCCCGTTGTCCTTTTTTCTGTATTGACTACTGCATAAGAAACATTTAACCGCCCTATTATATTGATTTGAAAAAAAGGGATTTCCCCACTTTGAGATGCCTAGCTAGAAATACTTATAAGGAATGAAGAGCAAGGAACATCTTTTACTCAATATAACTCTCAGTCAGGAGGAAGAGGCCAAGGCAGGGGTGAAACCCAGCAGGTTCTGACAAGTTCTGGAGAACCTGTAGTGGAAATTTTGAGTAGTTCGGAGAATCAGCAAATATTACCTCTGGCTGGCCCCAGAGTGGGGTGGGAATGGAGATTTTGCAGTATTCTTCCGCTGCCACACCACCAAGCCACGCCTACCAAGTCACACCACGCCCACCAAGCCATGCCCATAGAACCGGTAGTAAAAAAAATTGGATTTCACCACTGGGCAAAGGCACTTCTAAATATGCACTCACTCACAAGCAGTCCTTCTGACAGCCCCTCTTTATCTGAATTCTCTACTCTTGGCATGGTAATGTAACTATGTGGCTGCTGCTCCTCTTAGTGTTTGGTCACATAGTGAGGATTGCTAGGAGGCAAGCAGGAAGGAATGGATCCCAAACACCAACTAGGATCAGAGAGAATAAAATCTGAATGGCTCCCTCACTGAGAGTCAGCAAGACTGGAGTCCTGGACGTATGGTACACAATAGAGATATTAGCTATAGAGTTTCATGCTGAAGAAGAGCAGTTTAAGATTTTGCACAGGAGGCCTTCAAAGTATAATGTAGAGTCAGTCCACAGATCCTTCATGCACTGAGTTCCACATCCTTCCCTATCCCTCTGACCCAATAAAAAATAGTCTCAGAAAGAGTGTTAAGATTGTGTAGTTTCAGAGAATCTGAACTGGCATATTTTTATTCTCCTACATTTACACTTTATATTTTCAGATATAATTATTCCTGAAGTAGTTGTACAATTTCTTCTTAGGGATTTCACAGGCAGTTACAATTTACTGACCAGATGGATGTTTCACAAGCAGAGATGAACTGTTTCCATCATTATTTGGGATTATAAACACAACTGTTCTGCTACTACTGGACTGAACTACTCCTTAGTTAACTGGCTGTAAATCCGTAGCTTGTATAGATGTGCTAATAGCTAATTAAAGGGGAAGGGTGGATTTTCACAAATCTAAATGTAAAAATAGTTTTCTTTGCCAAATATTCTGGTTTTGCTCTTGAAGAAATGTACAAATGTTTTATCCAGAATTTTGGATAAACCTATATCTACAATTGCCTATAGTTTGGGAAATTGGCCTTATGACGATATACCAAATTAAAACAACAACAACCCTCATGCTCTCCTTTTTCCTGAGGTCACTTTCCATGGCCTTTTTCTAAACAAAGGTTGCTGCTGTCGTAGACAAGAAGATTAAGAGATACTATCATTATAAATGAAGTGATGCTTACATAATCCCACAGGGAAGATTAGAGATGACATCACTGAGATACCCAGACACTGACATAAGTACCTGCATAACCTAATGTGACGTTTTTTGGTTTAAATGTGGGTATCAAGGTTAACATTTGTTCTTGCATTCCATAGTGTAAGGGAATTAGATGTCTATAGAAAATGATAGTTTTAACCTTGACTGACAAGAAGTACTCTTAAGTGACTGTATAGTAGTTATAGAAATGGAAATAATTAATTCAAGATTAATTCTATATAATTTCTAAAAGTTCTGGTTCCAATAAGAAATTACAAATCTATTGGTATTAAAATGAATTGGTATTCATTTTAAATTAGACCAGAAATCTTGTCTATATTAAATTTATTAACCTCTCAGGTTAAAGTCATATTTATAACAACAAGCCAGTGAGTTTTGCTCACTTTCTTGCAACAGTTGTTAAATGAACCTGGCTTCGTCATTGACTTTGCTTGTCAGAGGATGGCAAGCGAAGTGATCACATGACCCTGGGACACTGCAATCATCATAAATACATGCCAGTTGCCAGGTGTCCAAATTTTTATCACATGACCATAAGGATGCTGCAAAGTTGTGTGAAAAATAGTGATAAATCATTTTTTTCAAAGTCATTAACTTTGGATGGTCACTAAATGAATGGTTGTAAGTCAAGGACTACCTGTATGACTTTTTAACATTTTATTAAAGGTATTTTGAGCCATAAAACAAGAATAAATACAACAGATGAACAAAATAATGAATATAACACTATCCATTAATAAAAAATGAAACAAAAACCAAAAGGACTATCAGAATTACATACAGTACACAAATGAAACAAACAAAATGTTAAAAAGTTATGATATTTATATAGTTACTTATCAAGCACATCTAAATTATATTAAACTAACCAAAATATCTTTATAATCCCCAAGGCATGTCACAACTTTTGAGCACCCCTAGTGTTTGGAAATTGACAGTTGAAAAATTTGACACGCCCTAAAATTACCCAGGGACAAACAAAGCTATCAGGTAGTCAACTATTGGGCCTAACATTGCAGAAAACACTGAGATAAAGTTATCCAAATGGAAAGTATCCAAATGCTACATGAAGCAAATGTTAGCTTTTCAGAACTTCATTTCATCTGGAAGATAAAATAAAATTGCATCTTATATCAGCAATGCACAATTGTGGTTTTTTTAAAAAAAATTGTTAATGCAAATTACTGTTTTAGATCTAGATATGACAGAGATTCAGCACCTTTTCAGTAGTTAAGAATACTGAAATCTATTTTTTAAAAGTTATGTAGGCAGAGATTTATTATATTTGGGGGTATGCTCTAGTATAATCACTGTTAAATATCAGAATAATTTAATAGTACATTTTCTAATGTCTGCAGATTCAACTGATTACTAAATTAAATCCAATGAATACATTTCTGAATACAATAGAATTCTTGGCCCAAATTTTTCTTCCTAAATTATTCTTATCTCGGTCAGTTAACCTTGGCGAAATAAATTTATAAAAATAAGTATTAGCATTGTTTAACTGATTGACATAATGCCTAATTATATATTCAGTGTTGAATAATATGAATTCTGTTTACCACTGGTAAGTGATATTGTGGTAAGTGACCAGCTTACCATTAAACTGTTCTTTAAGAAAAAAGTATGTTTTCAATTTCTCACTTAAGGTGCCTGAGTCACAAAAATGATTGTATCCCATTTATGGCTACCTGAAGCTGAAAGATGTAATCAAAGGTTTAAGAAAGATCTAATCACACTTGGATTATGAGTAACTCAGATGTAGCAGACAAAGTCACATTAAAACTGAAGGTACCTTGGATAGCACCTGAAGTGCTGCAGAATAAAGTCCCCCTATCCTCAATTGATCTTGGAGTAATCTTTGACAAACATCAGATCAATAATCAAGTAAACAATACCCCAATCAAGGACCTGCCAAATAAACCAAAAGTGAACAGCCCAACCAAAGAACTTCTAAGACCACCCTTGCCAACACTGACAGGGCAAGCCACTAGAATATAAATTGAGAGCAAAGCCCACTCCTTATCAGCCCTGAGGATGTTATCTAGTTTGGGCAATAAAGCATCTGCAAGAAAACAACCAAGCTCAGAGAACACCAAGGACCCCTCATTTCAACCCTGAGCTACAAATATTATCCTTTATTGATATATATTAAAGATCAATTAAAGACATAGCTACCATCAAACAGCATGCTACACTGGACTAATTTTAGCTTGGTTGTGTGTGTGTGTGTGCTTGCTATATTGTGTAAATCCAATCTATTAGGTTAGTTTATTATTCAATGTCTACGCAAACTCAGAAGTAAGTTGATTCAGTAACCAGATGAAGTATGTTGTACAAAGCCCTTTTATTATAGGATGCATTATAATAGATGGGTGTCCATTTCTCAGATACACGAGAAGCAAGCAGTTGCTGCAAAAAGAGAAATATTGAGTGAAGTCATTGCTAGGACTTTTTTCAAACCGTCTAAAAATTGAAAATCTATACAGTAATCATTTGTTTACTGTTTTCAGAACAAAAAGGCTTAAGTTTCCTTG